ACATTATACACAACCATAACACTAAAGAAAATAAAATGAACGTAAGTTACATAATTAAAATTTTATAATAAAGAGCATAAAAGTAAAAAACGTATTACAAATTAAAGTTTACCTTTTAACTAAATGTTTGACATGTATAGTGGGCTTATGATGCAAAGAACAAAACCATACAACAACATTACTCATAGGATAAAGAACCAACAGCTGCCAATGATTTCTACATTGAGCCAAAATTAGTTAAACAATATATATATAAATTACATAAATTAAATGCAATAAGAAACATGTACTTACTGATCAATGTAAGGAGCCAAGTAAATTTGCTTCTGGGAGTTCTTTATCCTATCATTTATATAATTTATAGCCTCTTCTTTCTTATTCCCCGATTTTTGTATGGATTGGGGCTCCAAAAATCCATACAAGTCATCATAGCCATGCTCTTCAATTTTTTGATTTAGATAACTAAAATTTATAAAAGAAAAGTAATTTAGAATGAATCATAATTAATTAAATAAATATTGATACTAATAAGAATTGTGTACTTACAACATCCAAAATTGTATGATTGAGATGTTAAGCATTTTTCGTTCTATTAATTCACGTATATCATCAAATGTAATATAGAACACAAAATCATTAGCACCAACACCAAATAGACTTCCAGGACATATCACCTGAAATGGTCAAGTTGGATAAGTAACCAACCTAAAACAAAAAAATATTAAATAGTCTTTATATAAGTCAGACAAAGTCACCTTAAATGGGTTGCCATAAGTTAAAGTCAATGATGCCTCACGCAAATCACATATAGGATCATTACTGGGCTTGGACCTATGAACTGTTAGAATATCTTGTGTCTTCTTAGATGATGAAATATGTCTCACAAGACGTCTTGGCCATGAAATGAAAGTCTGTAGGGCCTGTCCAACCAGTTGAACCTCTGAAGTAGGCATAGGAACATGAGCATCAAAATCTCGAACAAACTCAACAACCACCTTGACCAAATCAGCTGTTAGAGGTACATGATGTATGGTTGAACTACCCTCATAAACTCTACCAATGGCCACTACACGAGGTGGTATATCATCAATGCATAACTCACGTACATGAGGCTTATCCCCTAATTCATTACCAGCCACAACAGTAGCACTTGAAGGAGTTGGACAACTACCTTTACTACTACCAAGGACCAGATCTACTTGAACTAGAAGAACATCCTGTGTTTGTGTATTACTGATATCATTTTTCTTGAGCTGTGCAACAACTTGTTGTGTGAGGAGTTCCAAATCCTTGGGAGTTAATTTAGCTATGGATAATCCATGTGACTGGCGTCGTCCATAGTACTGACTAATAGGAGTACCAACACCAGCTGTACGAACACGACCAGGATGCTCTAGTCGTCCAAGGGCAGTATTTAATATATCTTGACGCCCGTCGATAACAAAGGAACCCTGTGATGCTTGCTCATCCAACTCATTCTACAATTTGACTGCGATTATCAGAGAACACAAGCATATTGTCAAGATAGTTAAAGCTAACCTATTTCGCAGTCATCAACGAATGAAAGCTCTCGCCGACCTAGGTCGCAAAGACCTTACCTTTGAAGTTGGTGACTGGGTCCTTCTCCGGCTCCAACCGTACCGGCAAACCACATTGTCTCGTCGATCATCGAACAAACTTGGCTGTCCTTTTTTTGGCCCCTTCCAGGTTCGTCGTCGCATTGGTTTGGTGGCCTATGATTTGGCACTTCCAGAGACAACCAAAATCGATCCTGTGGTTCATATTTCCAAGCTTAGGCCCTATCGGGGACCTTCTCTTCCATTGTCGCCCCTAAACCTTCCTAGTGACCTCTTCCCTCCGCTTAACTCACATACCAATCCAAATGACACTTTCCTTCCCAATATTGCATTTTCAGATGCTGCCCCATCACCCTATCAACCTCTCTCCCAATCTGAGCTATCCAATTTGAATCCCACAAGTCTAAATTCCTCACTCCCACCTAACCCCACTAAGGTCACTTCGACTTCTGCAAGCACGCACGTGTCCACACTTAACCCCACGAGTGTTGCGGTTTCATCTAGGCCACTCCCAACAAACACAAATTCATCCTCACCACTCCCTGCAACCGTGATCCGTAACTTCCATACTTCCACCAACCAGTTGCCGCCACATCATGATATGGCCATTGTGGACCTTGAGGACAAGGTTCATTGTCGACCGGGCGGTAATGATAAGCCCAAAAGATACATTAAATCACCAACTTGGATGAGAGACTATATTTAATGGATACACTGGCCCAATTGTTCCTTTTGTTGTTTCAGTTGTTTTTTTAGAATAATTTCCAGCCCTTGATCTCACAAGACTAGTGTCCATTAGATATTTTCTAAGCACCTATATATGTACGCTCGGGTTAATTGAACGGGCAGAGAATATCATTTTCCTGAATTAGCTTTTCTTTATTTAGTAATACTAGTGTAACCTTATAGCTCTCATCAACTTGAATCCTATCACACCTTCACAATAAAAAATAAATAAAAAAAGGCGAACAACATGCCCAAATGCTCAAGCTTTTCAAGATACCTTTTGGAGCTTACTTGATTAGAAACAAAAGAACAAAGGTTAATTTTGTAACTATTAGTGAACTAAAATATAATTTAACACAAATGACTCCTTTATATATAGTAATTGATTTCATCATGAAATCCACAAGTATTTATCTTTAATCAACTTAAAATAATCCTTAACAAGCATAACTTTTATTAAATCCACACAAATTCATTCACATCCACTTAAATATATTATTTACTTCTAGTAGTTATTTATTTTCAAACTCTTCTAATCTGTATACAAACAAATTCTTTATTTATTAAAGCAAATTCAATAAAAAAAAAACTTCTCCAAAACTCTTTCACATCATATCCAAATAGACTATTGATATTCTTAACATTAAAATATACTTAGGTTAATTTTTCAAATAATAATTACCCTTTTAAATATTTTTTTGACAAATATCTAACCAGAATACCGTAGTGAAGGAGTCAGTCAAACACTAACTTTTTTGCATTTAAAATAAAATGCTTGGAGCCCAAGGAGGTTCACATTCCGAGAAAATCAAAACGCCACGTGTCGTCTAACAATTGGAGAGAATGAAGACTGCAGAAGTTATATAAAGAGAAAGAGAGTAGTGAGAACTCAGAAGTGAGGCAACAGAGACCTCAAATGGAACACAACAAAGGAGACCTGACGCCGGAGCCGCGGGTGGCGGTCGTCGTTTTCCTCTTGAAGGGCAGATCGGTGCTCCTCGGCCGCCGTCGCGCCTCCGTTGGCAATGCCACCTTTGCTCTCCCTGGCGGCCACCTCGAATTCGGTATCTCCCTCTCCCTCTCCCTCTCCCTTTTATTTATTTATTTTATTATTATTGTGATTATAATTATATTTATGATTACGATTTCCGACAAATATTTTGAAAAGAAAAATGATAGATCCTCAAAAAATTTGTCTAAAAATTTGTCCGAATATATAAAATAATAATTTAAATTATAAAATATTAAATTAAATAATTATTTTATAACAAATTTATTAAAAAAATATTAATATTTTAAATTTCGAAGGATGATTTTCACAATTTTTTGAAAAAGGGGAGTAGAGTATTATTTTCTGTTTGTTCCATTTTTTCGATGTGGTTTTCTATCGTTTCCTTTTCAATCCATTCGCCGTCTTAGTGGTTGGTTACTGCTTACTAGTTTAGTTATTCAGAAAAAAATAAAAAAATAAAAAATAAATACCAGTTTAGATATGAGAGTCATTAAAATGAAAAATGTTAAAAGAATGTGTCATTTTATTTATATATATATATATATATAAAAGAGGGGTTATAATAATATTGGTATATTTTTTATTAAGTGTTACACCGCTCAATAATTTTATATTAAATATAAATTTTGTAAATTTAATTATATATATATTAATCCAAGATAATTTGATATTTTATTCTTATAAAACAAAATTAACGTAATATATTTATTTTAAAATATATTGAAATATGAACACTTTAATTATTTTCAATTTGTTGTTCAATTTTAACAAAATTTAATATAAACATATAAAGTGATATGAACTTTCAATCTAACATTTAATATAAAGTTATTGAGTGGTGTAATACTTAGTAAAAGTTATACCGGTATAATTATAATCATATATATATATATATATATAATTTTTTTAAGGCTAAATTGTAATTTTATTTTCTTTATAATATCTAATTCACAATTTTGGTATTCTATTCTTAATTTTATAATTTTATTCTCTCATTTTAAATGTTGTCCATTTATTGTTAATAGTGTAACATTAGTTTTGATTCAATGTTAAGCAAATTGACAAGATTATTATTTAATAATATTTAGGTTAAATTATAATAATTATGTTATTATTATTTTTATGAGATAAAAATAAAAAATAAAAATTAAATTTAATCTAAATATTATTAAATTTTAATTGTTATGTCATTTATTTAATGACATGGATGAACATGTCATCGGGAGATAAAATTCTAAAATTAAAAATAAAAAGATTGTATGTAATAATTTATGATTGGGGATAATATTTATATTGTCAATGTATAATTTTTTTCTCTCTAAAGTTTAAAGAAAATAAAAAGGTAATTACTAGAGTTGACACATTGATGAAGAATAGTCAATAAAGTTAGTATCTTATGTGTATTTTTGTTTAAGCAATTATATCTTTTTTTCCCTATTAAAGTTGGTTTACCTAGCATAAAAGTATCTTAATTTTAAGTTTTATATCTTACTCTTGTTTTTTATAAGGAAAAAAAAATTGTTTCACACATGTTAAGAAATCAACTTAGTGCATTATATTTTACTATTCCTTAATACGGTTCCTTAATTATCTTTCATAAATGCATAAAAGTAGTGTAACTAAAAAGTCATGTGTTGAAAAAAAAATATTTAAAAAAGTTATTAAATAAAATAAAAGTAGTTGAAATTTGTTTAGATTTAATAAAAAAATGTGTGACTTTTTTTTATAAAAGTAATTAGGAGCATGTAAGATATGATAGCTTATAAATAAAAAGTTATTTTTACACCATTAAATCGAGAAAAAGAAAAATAAAAACGAGAAATCATATCTAGAAAAAGATTTAGTAAGGATCGTTTAAAATTATACTATTAGAGAAAAAATGTAGTATGTTGTCTATGAATTACTTAAATGTGATGTGATAATATTAGATATAATAAAATAAAATACATGGCGAAGTAATTTGCATCACGGATAGTTTAATCTTATTATACATAAAGGGGGAAAAAAAGAATAAAACGGTGTTGATTCCAACTCCCCTAATTTTTGTTTCTTGACAAGCAAAAATGACATTGAATTGAAAAACAAGACATTGAATTGAAGCATAAGATGTGTCATCAACCCAATGTTATCGAGAGAAAGTTGTCTAAGAGTTGATAACTAGAATTTAAAACAATAACTTATACAGAAAGATCCACCCTAAATGAAAGCATATACAGTAAAAATAACTCAAGTCATTATTACTATTTGATTCGTGTAAGAGTTGCTGTGATATAAGCTTTGACACCTCTTATAATTGAACAGAGCATTAAAAACGTATACTCCCTCTGTTTTTTTTTTATTGTCGTTTAAGATTATGCACAAAAATTAAGAAAATGGTTGAGGGGTGTTTTTAGTTTTGCAGGGGAGAGTTTTGAGGAATGTGCAGCTAGAGAAGTGAAAGAGGAAACAGGGTTGGAGATAAGGAACGCAGAGTTTCTGACTGTAACGAACAACGTGATGTTGGATCAGCCTAAAAAGTGCCACTATGTGACCATTTTCATGAGAGTAATTGTGGGCGTGGATGCCCCAAAAGAAGAGCAAGAGCCACAAAATCTAGAGCCTCACAAGTGTGATGGTTGGGATTGGTATGAATGGGATCATTTGCCGCAACCTTTGTTTGGGCCACTCGAGAAAATGGTCAAAGGAGGTTATGACCCATTTTCGTCCTAATTCTGTTTTTCATGTATGCTTTTTTGAATATGCTCGGGTAGCTATGTGTTTGGGCTAGGTTTTCTTTTTGGTGTGATGTGGATTTTGTAGTTCAGTTTGCCATATTTTGATGAAGTGCATGTGTGATCTCTCCTATTGCCATATTTTGTTGTTGAGTAGGTGCATCTTATTGATAATAAGTAATATTAATTAATTTTTTTAATTAGCCTTTTTTTTTAAGTGTTTTAAATTGTAATGAGATTGAATACCTCTCTTTTAAACGAAACAACTCTGACTATTATACCAAGAAAAATTTATAGGCTTTAAATGTGATTTTGGTCTATGAAGTACATTAATTGAGTAATTTTAATTTTTAAAATTTTAATTGAATAATTTTAGTCTTTTAAATATCATAATTATGTAATTTTAGTTATAATATATGTAATTTAAATAGGTCAAAAATTGCATTATTATGATATTTGAATGACTAAAATTATATAATTGTAAAACTTAAAAAATTAAATTACTTAATTAAAATTTAGGAGACCAAAATTATATAATTATAATATTTGAATAATTAAAATTATTCAATTAAAATCTTAAAAATCAAAATTATATGATTATAATATTAGACGAATAAAGACAATTAAACCACATTTATAATATTCCACTATCTAAAAGATTGAACAATTTTAATTTCACCTAGCATAATGGACGAAGCAATTAATTTGAGTTTTTTGTAATTGCTAGCTGTTTTGTCTCGAAAATACTTCAGTTGCAACAAATGAGTTTGCAAAAAATGATGCATTGGGTCTTGAAATCTTAATTTTGGAAGAAGATATTGCTAATATGTTGTTATGATTTTCAGTGTTGCTTTTGGTGTGTAAAATCATTCAATCAAATGGCAAAATATATCACAAGACTACCAATCAGGCTTCTATGTCATGGAGGAAAACTCCTTTATTGTTGACAAACTCGACATTTGGAAATTGAAAAGGATAAAATCCTAAAGTCGACACTTGTTTGAGAGAGGTAATTTAGTAGGAAATAAAGAAAAAAGATAAAAAAAAATTATGAAGGAATTAGAAAAAGTGTGTTTAAAAGAGATGATTTAAGTAGATTTGTGAGAAAATTGTGCTAGAGTTCATGTAGATTTAATTTCATTCTTATGCATGGGTTTGTGAGGAATTTTTCAAAAAAAAAAATGCCTACAATATTGTCTAAATGTATATTTTAAAATAGTTAGTAAAGAGTAAAGATGTAATTGTCTAAATCATATATTTTTACATAAAATTATAACTATATAAAATACAATTTTAAAATATCAATTTCTCTTTATTTCTCACTTAATTTCATTTTATCAAATAATTACAAATTCTATACTATTTTTTTGATATATATTCTATCAAATCAATGCTCACTTATCTCTCATTCCCTTCGATTCTTCCACCTTCTCCAAATCAAGCATTAAGTATGTTTGATAGGTTAGAAATGGAAGGAGAGGACAATGAGAGGAAATTTTGGAGTGGAAATGAGTTTTGTTGTTTACAATATTGGTGGTGGCAAGGTGAGTGAGGCCTTAAGCCCTTCATAATTTTTTTTATATTATTAAAAAATAATTTTTAATTTAAATTATGAAATGATATATTTTATATATTAAATTTATTTATTTTGTTTTACTCAACTTATTTTAACAAATACTAAAATATGAAATCAATTTAATTTTTTTACATGAATCTCAATAAACGAAAATTTTAAAAAAGAATAACTTGAAAAATGAAATATTATATTAATTTTAAATAAACATTAATTTGATATTATTGATATTGACTTACTTTTCAAATTGAAAATATTAAAATAAATACTAACAAAACAAATTAATATCTTATTTGAAACACTAGACTATATTAAAATGATGTTTTTACATGCATGTAATGTTTATAAAATATATAATATTAAAAATATTTGAAATTAGAGTCATTGTCAAAATATATTTTTTTAGGTTTAATTGAGATAAATTATATATGTTATGATATAATGATTGAATGAATTATCATTAAATAAAATGTCAAAATTATTGTATTTTTGACGTTACGTTTGTTTACCAAATATCCAAGAAATAGCATAGGGACAGAAGAAATATTATCATTCAAATAAGTTGTGTTGTTTGTTTAGTGGGAGATTCATCAAAGGAGAAATTTGCACATGTGGATCCTTGTCTATAAATTTTTTTCACAAATTCAAGTTGAAATAGCCCAGAAAACAGAAGAGGGAGAGAGGACAAGGTTTTTTCTCACACTTTTATTCCTCTACTCTCTCAAAAGAATATTTTTAATTATTAATTTATTTATAAAAATATAAAAATTTGATCCAAAAATTAATAAGATAAATAAAAATT